TTAGCTCACTCTGACACACAAACCAAAAGGAGGTCAGAGCCACCATGCCGAGGGTCGTGCAGAGGAGCTGGCTTGGGCATTGTGGAGCTGTTGGAAGGTGTTTTTTGTGGTGCCAGCAGCTTTCTGCTGCCTCGGCGGCAGCAGCAGCAGTTGCCTCTGCGTGACGTGAGCTTTGACGGTCTGATGGGACATCTGAATGTGGCAGCTCTGGAGAGCTACGGACCTCCTGGCCTCAGGGACTTCTTGGATGGAGCTTCGAGGAGAAGGCAGAAGGGAGGACAGCTGAGAGGAAAAGAGGACAAGAGGAGAAAAGAGGGCTTTGAGGGTTTCATCTCCTTCTGAAGGGAGCTACGGAAGAGGACCAGGAAGTCTTGGGCAGGAATTGCAGCATCGTCTTCATTCACCGCCTCCCCACACCTCAGGTGTTTCCCACCTGCACATCCCCTGGCCCTTACAAATACCTTGGCAGCTCTTTAAAATCCCCCTTTTCTGGTGGGATTTCCAGGAATACCTTGATCCAGCACCCTACGGCCTCTCCAGGGAGTAGACATAGGAGGACAGGAAAGGAACAACTGTTGGGTGAAAAACCTGCTTTTTCCCAGCTTAAGCATCCAGCAGCCCAGAGCATGGTCTGGGAAGGTTTGACTTCAGGCTGGTGGGAGGTCTGGGACTGAAGCAGAAGAAAGTTGCAATGTCATGGAGCTCTTCTTTCCTTAGGAGAGCTTAGCAGGTCTGCTGCATGTGGCTGACGAACTGTGAGGCTGTTCTCTTCAACAGGAGATATGTCCACTTTGAGCGGTGGGGCTGTGGGTGGTCGCAGGGGAGGTTGTCTGTGCTGCTCAGGAATAGCTCTGCAGGTAGCTGAGCTTTTTTGCCTTTCTGGGTTGCTACAGTGAGTTGCCAAGGGGCAGCAGCCTGAAGTTCAGGCCCAGAAGAATGATGCAATTGAGCTAATATTTCTGCATCTTCATTTCACCCTTTTTCAACCCTCTTAAGGGGTGTTTGAATATCAAGGTTTAAAACCATTGCAAGCCCCAGTGCTTGTGATGTGACCTGTCCGTTTCATAGGCGAGGATGCAAGTTGGGTTCAGGTTCTTGGTCAGACCTTGAAGCCCGAGAGTCTGCTTTGGAAAAACTCTGCTCAGAAAATACGTCTTTTCCTGGCAGACCTGGGCTGGTACCTTTCTGCCAGTAGATGCATATGCTGTTCCTGACCCTGCTGATATTTAGTTTGCAGCATTGAAGGAGCAGGTTTTACCATGCAGATGTCATGAATTTCTCTTCCCTTTAGTTTTGTATATATTATATGCTACAGTTACCTCCTTAGTGGATGTTTTCTTCCCCAGAGGTGGTTGCTTTTTAAGCGTACAGTGCATATGCATTTTGCGAAGGGAAAGCTATATGTGCAAAATGTTACCATCAGCTGCAGGTCACAGCACACAGGTATTTTTAATGCATAGCACTAATTTAGTGATGTCTTACAGCGAGTGTATAAGCTGATCGCTCAGATAAGTTTCTTTTCAGTTTGCACTTTCGTCTTTCTCCTTGGCTGGGTCAAAAGAGGATAGGGTGTCTGCAGCAGAGCAGTGAATGAAACCCTGGGGAGCCAATGCCTGTCCTTTAAGGCCCTCTGCTCGTGGCCAAGGACATGTTTGTGCCTGCCCCATCAATCCTGCTCAGCTGCACCCATTGTCTGGGTATAACCCCCCCCTGCAAACAGGGCTGGGGCTTTGCTGGAAGGGGTTGGGTTAGCTACTGTCTTTCTCGGGGGGAGTGTGGTTCAGCTGCAATTCCTGCTCTAGGTTTCAATTTCTGCTCTGGGTTTCTTTCTTTCATGTTAGACTTCAGGGCAGTTGAAATGTGGTCTTCACCATCCCAGGGGTGAAGTCTTTTCCCTGTTGTTTTAAGTAGTAGCGTGAGCACATCAGGACTTGCAGAGCTTAGGGAAGTTTTGAAATTTGTTTTGTAAAAACTTCTTACTCTGTTTCTGACTGCCTGAAAGGGCTCTAAAAACGCTCCCAATGGGTCCGCTCCGGAAGCGGTATGCAGGGTGTTATCTGTCCTTTCCACTCTGTTTCCTTTTCTTCCTCCTCCTGAAGAACAAAGATATAAACACGGAGCTGAAGAGATGCAGCAGAAAAATGGAATAACTGACTTGCTGCCCAGGGGAAACCACAAATAACAGTCTGGGAGTAAACAGTGCTGACAGCCCTGCGATACAACTCATAGGGCCCAGACTTCCCTGTGGGAAACGCGCTTTATTTTTAAAAGCCTGTAGGTAGGACACAGCACTAATAGCAAAGGACCTAAAAGCATAATGGGATTGAGGAGGTAGCAATACTATCTGCAGTTATAGTGTGTTTTCAAATGAATTAAAGGCAATTAGCTATCCTAATACAGCTGAAGTCTGTGGGCAGCTGGGCTTGGACTTAATGGTGAGTATAGCAGCTTGCACTTGTGGGTCTCTGAGTCATGAGCTGGGGATCCTGCCCCTTGTTTTTACAAAGGAGGCTGATAAAAGTCAGCAAAGGGCTGGATGTGAGCAGGCCCGGAGCTCTGGTCTGTGGGATCATCTCTTGATTTCCCTACTCACAAGTTCGTGCCACTGCTGCTCTCTGGCTGCCGCGGGGCGGTGCGGCTGGCTGCCGAAACCCCTCCGGTCACTGAGGGCTTTCCCCTCTCTCTCAGTGCCTGCCTTTATATTACTCTGACATGGCTTTTTATTACAATGGGATTTTGCAAAGCCTGTATAAATCATTTGGATTCAGAACCAAAAAAGAGGCACGGGGAGGCGGATGCAATTAAAAGGGCAGCTCAGCTCAGCTTTCCGTCTAGACAGCCTTCTCTTAAAATAACTGGCACTTGGAGCATCCACCTCCGAGCAGAAAGGGCTCCTCTCTCTGCCGGATTCCGTGGCCTTTGAAATCACAAAAGACTTGGCTTCCTGGGTCCTGGACCGAACTGCAGGTCTTGGGGCCGGGCAGGCTTTGGCTCAGCTGGTGCACGGAGCTGGACACGGCTTTAGGGCTTGGGAAGGCGTGAGCTGAAAGCTCAACTTCCCAGACCTTTGATGGGAGGGAGCCCTTTGTGTGCTGAAGCATGGAAGGAGATTGCAATTCAGCAGCTGGACATCTTCTAACCATACTTCTCTGACCCCACCTGAGCCATGATTTATGACTTGATTTTTAGCAGCGCTTGAGCTGCCTTATCCCCTCTGTTGCCCACTGGTCGAGCATGGCCAGAGCTGAAGGGTCAGGTGGGGTCGAGGCAGGGGGGTTTCCCTGCCTGGGTAGCTGAGATAGGCGAAACATAAGGGACGTTTTGTGTGCACATCAGTGTGAAAACCACACTGGGATTTCCTGGAAGTGACAGCAGTGATAGCTGCTCCTTCCTAAGGAACGGCAGCAACTGGTGCACATGGATGTAAACCCGGTGGTGCCGAAACAAGTGAAGCGCAGCAGCTCTTTAGCAGGGTGTGTTAATGCTGCAGAGTAGTTTGGCATGGGAGGCGTGAAAAGGAGGGGAAGGAAAAAGCTGTCTGCAATGAGCAGAGGCCTCTCTGGCTGGTTTCAGTCTGCTTTGGTGAGCAGGGCCTGAATTTGCTCCGTTGCGTGAACGTCCGGAGGCAAGATGCAAAGGCAAGAGGTAGAATTGATGGTCCAAAGTCAAACACACTAGACATTACTGAATTGCACAGGATGTTTTCTGCAGGCATGGATTTGCTGGAAAGGCACAGGCGTGGATCGTCATTGCCGTCCTAGTTGAAGGCCGTACCTCACTCTCCAGTTCAAATTCCACTCTCACCTCCATGAGTGCAGCTTGTGAGGATTTGGTGGGGAAGCGTGATCGCTTCTCTGGGACCAGAGACTGCTCTGGGCAGTCCCAAATGGCCTCACTGGCTGCACCAAGTATTGAAGGTTGCTAAGCTGAAGCGTAGCTTTATTTGGAAGTTTTGCTATGTTTCAGCTATTTCATGCAGAAAGCTGTTTCTTGCAGTGTGCAGCCGGGAGAGCGAAGCTGGTGGTGGTAAAACTGCAGTGCAAGCGTGGGACTGGGACTGAGACTTCGGTGCTGCCCAATTCTTGACTATCTGAGGATCCAGCCCAAAGCATGATTTTTCTGCCTTTCACTGGGCGGTTTGTGCCTCACTTTACCTCTGCCGAGTCCTGCCTGGCTTTCGTGGTGAATTAATTGATGTTGCATCCTTAAAGACCTCTCGAGGAAAGCTGCAAATACTCCTTTTGATCTCAAACTTTACAAGGAAAGGGAAAGGCAGAGGTACTTGTGAGGACAGCCCCTTCCCGCTGCTGTGAGCCACTGCCTCCTTCTGTGAAGCTCATGGGATGGAGCTGCATTTTGCTTGTTTATTTATTTTTTTTTTTTTAACACGGGGAGTTACACACCCACGAAGCCTGGAAATAGCTGGGCAGTGACTCACGCAGGGGCTGGTTTAACTGGTCTGCTCCGGGAGGCAGCTGTGTTTGGCAGCTGGGGAAGGCTCTTTCCAAAAAGTTTGACTCTACAAGGGCAGAGGGTGTTTTCACTAGCTATGTATTTATTTTACCTCTGAGCTTGGCCAGCTCGGTGTCTCATGGCTTGTTGCACATGGCTTTTGTGTTTCCAGTACAGCTGAACTCCCAGGGCCTGACATGAAGTTGGGGGAGAGGCTTTGTCTTGGTTTCTGCAGACTTCAGATTGGGACTGATATTGCTGCTCATATTTTATTAGAAATGCTCCCTGAGAAAGCATGTGGCCCTGCAGTTCGTTTTATCCCAGCATGCTGGTCCATGCACACGTCATCCTAAATCCTGGGCAGCATCGTGCCCGTGCTGAGGACCTCACCTGCTGGATGTGGCCACATCCCCCAGCTGTTAAGAAACTTAATGGGAACCGGGGGCGGGATGGTGGCACGGGGGATGATGCCGAGGCCACGGGCTGTGGTGGGGGCTTGCTGTCTGTGGTGCCCACACTGAGGTTTCTGTCTGTCTGTCTTTCCCCAGAATGGCTGCAGTCTGTCCAAGCGATGATGATCCTTTCCATCATCTTCAGCGTCTTGTCCCTGTTCCTGTTCTTTTGCCAGCTGTTCACGCTCACCAAGGGCGGGCGGTTTTATGTTACTGGAATCTTCCAAATCCTTGCCGGTAAGTGGGGGCTGATTGATGGGGCTGTCACCAGTGGGGAAAGGGCTTTCAAGCAGAGGAGAGGCCAATGGTAGAAACGAGCATGCTCTTGGGTACCGAAGCAGGAGGATCACGGAGCTGGCTCCCATGTGGCTCAGTGAAGGGAAGAGGGGGTGAATAATTTGTGTCTGTTGAGGTCTCGCATGCCCTGGGATGGGATCTGTCTGTCAGGGCGTTAGCTGTCCAAGCTCTTCTGCCCTTGTGTCATGGAAGGTGCAAGAGGGTTGCTGCCCCGGCCGGGGAGGTGTCGGAGGGGCAGAGTGCCAGACCCGCCAGAGGCAGAGCTGTGCCAGCGGTCCGGGGCGGTGGGGCAGGCAGGGCGCGGGGGCTGCCGGACCGGGGGCTCTGCCCGCTCTTCCAGTGGCTTGGAATGGGGCGCTGAGGGTCCAGGGTGGCTGCGCTGGCTTTGGGATCCACCTGCGCCGGGCTGGGCGAGGTTTCCGCAACTGCAGGCGGGGTGGGGGAAGTAGTGACGATCCTCTTTTGGCAAAAGAGGATCCGAGGATTATTTATAAACTTGCCATAAGGGGGCCTGGTGCTTTCCACATCAGCAAAGAGCCACTGGAGCGTGCAGGGTGAGCCAGCTGACTTTGAACTGTCAGCTACTATTTTTAACTCTTAAAGAACTCAGCCCTGGAAATGAGCCATGGTTCGTGTCCTACGTTGCATTTCTCCAAATATAGATGCTGTAAAGCCACTGCCTCCATTTACGTTTCCACGTATGAAAACAGTGGAGAGGATTTTCAAGCATTCGGACTAGAAAAATTAAATTGTGCAATGAGGTTCTGGCTAAATTATGACAGACTGTCTGGGAAGGAGACTAATTGTTTACTAGAGCTTTAGATGTTAAACTAAAAGCCACCCTCAGTCCTGCCACTGAATCCATGGAAAAACTCATCCACTGAATTTAGACAGAGTTTCTGAGCATCCTCTAAGTGACTGGCCTTCACAAACCTTGGAAAAGTTTAGAGCTAACCTTTCTTAGCAAGTGTGGCATGAAATCTATTGTAAGTGTATTTGCTTGGCCATAATGCAGGTGATGAGTTCAGATCAGTTCACCGTCTCTGGAAAGATAGATGTGTAGAAACCCATTACAGCCATGGAGTCAAGGAGGGGAAATGGGCATTAATAATGCAATTATCTGCCTGAGAGCTTGTCTAATAGATCTGGGAGCAGAAGGCTTCTCTCTCCTGAGTGATTGTTGGTGATTCCTCATTCTCAGAGGAAGAGAAAATGGGATTGCAACCCTCCTGTCCATGCTGTGCTGGGTGTCCTAAGGGGATGGAAGGTCAGGCCATAGACCTACCGTCTCTTTCCTTGTTGGGCTTGAGACGTGGGTCAAATCCATCCCCTACCAGTATGAAGGACAGGAAAAGTGTGACCTGATCCCCCTGAAGCTTCCTCATGGCCTGGGGGACCCATAGGCAGAGGTCTGAGTCCAGATGGACCATGCAGAGGTGGGCACTGGTGGCCATCCTTGCTGTTGTCCCTGGCCAGGGCTGGAGGAGGGGGCTCAGGGCAGTTGTGGTCTTTGTGACCCTAAATTTCAGGGTTGTTGGTAGGAAACATGACATGGCTCTGCCAGCGCTGCCAGGATATCCCACTTGGAGGTATGGATGGCTCTGGTCAAAGGAGCTGAACCTGATGTGGTTTCCTTGCAGCTTGCCGTGGAAGGCCACTGCTGTCTAAAGCCAATGGAGGAAATTCCTGTGGCCTTCAGGCTTTGCAGGTGTTCCTCCACACCTTGCAAAGCCCTGGCACCACAAAATCCTACTGCAGGTCTGCCAGGGACGGGGTCTTACCTGCTTGAGTGCTTTGTTCTTGGCTCCAGCAGAGCTGGAGAGGACCTCCCTCCTTCTGGGAGGGGATGAGAAGGCTCTTCCTGAAGCTCTCCATCACCCTGCAACTCCTCCTGGGGTGATGCAGCTTGGCAAAGCTCAGGGTCTCCAGTTTTGGAGCCTGAGCAACAGCAATGCTGGACCTGAACCAGCGGGTGCTAGGGGCAGAACCACTGGGTGCTGTTGGGTAGTAGAGCAGGGCAGCGGTGCCTGAGGGGCAGGGGCTGGTCTCCAGTATGACTTCAGCTGTGGCTCAAGGGAACTGGGGAGCAGAGGTAAGGGCAAGAGCAGATGCACGAGGTCAGTTGGGTCTGTTGTGTAGCAGCAGGGCAGGATGCATCCCCAGCACCTTCTCCACACTGCTTGGAAACATGCCCCGAAGTCTAGCTGAATTTGCCCTGAGGGGATTTCAGCCATTGCAAAGGCATCAGAAGGCCCTCTACAGCTCTGCTCCATCCTTGCTGCGTCCATCACATCCAGGGGTAACTTCTCCTAGCTGCGTAAGCTGAGCATGGGAGAGACGTTGGTTTGGGCCTCTCAGGGTTTGACCCAACTTTTCCATCACTCTCTCCAGCATCAGCATCGCTTTTGTCCCTCATCTCTCATCCCTCCCGCCCTAGACCTGCTGTCCCCATGGGGTGGAGAGGGTGGGCTCAGCCTCAAGGGCTATGCCTTCCACATATCCCGCAGCTATTTGCAAAAACCTGCTTTGGAGAGCTAACCTTGAGCATGCACCAGCACCCAGCCTGGTTCATCTGCAGGGCTGGGGCAGCATGCACAAACCTGCAGGAACAGAGATGAGGTAGCATTTGCCCTCCTGGCCTCTCAAAGCAAGACTAGAGCGTGTTCTTAAAATCAGGCTCTAAAGTGGTGATGCATTACTGCTTACATTGGTGCAAGCAGCTGAATGCAACTGTCCTTCACTTCCCAAGCATGTTCTCCGGGCCAAAACCAGTGCAGATGCTGCAGAAGTGCAGTCATAACAGTTGCCTCCATTTTGCCAAATTCCTTATGTGGACAATTGCAGCTGTATTTTCTGCTGTCTGTAGGTGACCGGCGTGGCCGCACGCCTGTTCTCTGTCCCACCAGCATCGGCGGACAATTGTTGTGCTCTCTTTGCAGGGGCTGGGGCAGTGGGAGTTGGTTCTCTTGCTTAGAGAATGTAAACTGCACCAGCGACGCATTAATGAAACATATTCCCACTTCTGCACTTTCCCAGAACAAAGGAGCAGTGTCAAGTGGAATTACAGCTCAAATATCACGGTGGTTAAATGTAGGTGGTCCCGAGGTCCGTGCAGGGGATTTGGAACTCGGCTCCGACAACAGCCCCACGACTGTATAATAGAACTGCTGGGATTGACTGAAAGAGCTTGTTTTCAGGCAGAAATAGAGGTGGCTTTGTGTTAGCTCTGGGCAGTCCCCAACGCTGATGGGTTGTTTTTGCAACAAAGCTTAAACGCTGCCTACCGGAGCTGGGCCCGGCCGGACAGCCCTCGGGGACCTGTGCTGGCCCCTGGCAGGCGAGGGTGGATGCCGGGAGCCGGGGAAGAGGGACGAGCCCTGGGCACAGCAGGGCTTGCAGAGAGCAGGGTTTGCAGTTGAGCTCCTCGTCCAGCCCGGGAGGAGGACGGGGGATCACAGGGCACAGACCCTGCCCGGCCAGAGCGTTCGTGGCCCCCGGCTGTGTTTGCCTGGGCAGGTGATAAAGAAACTTTCGTGCTTTAAAAAAAAAAGGGGTTTTGTGTCTGACCTCTTGCAGCATCTCTGGTAGGGTGGTTCAGGCTACAGTCTGGGTTTTAAACGAGCGGGGCTGGTCCGGAGCAGCAGCCCAGAGCTGGGGGATGCCCGGTGCTTGCCTGAGGGATGGGTTAGCCCAGGTGATGCTCTGGCTTTGATTGCTCCAGGGGCTTCTGCTTTGCTTGCCCCACGGGCTCTGGCTTTGCTTGCTCGGAGCCTGGCAGAGATATCCCCACTCACCTGCAGCCAGGGCAGAGACCACACCATCCCCACCACCCTCCAAATCCTACCATAGTTTTCCAGGAGATGGGATACAAGGGGGCAAAAATGAAAAGTTTCACATGCTGGTATTGTCTATTATCCTCTCTGGCTCTGGGTTTCCAGCAGGGAACTGCTCCGTGCGTGGCATCTCTAACCCCTTCCTATATGCGCTTCCCTGGCAGGGCTCTGCGTGATGAGCGCCGCGGCCATCTTCACAGTGAGGCACACGGACTGGCACCAAGCCTCAGAAGACACCTCCTACGGCTTCGCCTATATCCTGGCATGGCTGGCGTTCCCCCTGGCCCTCGCCAGTGGCATCGTCTACGTCATCCTACGGAAGCGCGAGTGATGCCGCGGGAGGCGGCGTGGTGTGACAAGGGCACTCATGACGTCCACGGAGGAGACGGAGGCGGGGGAAAATAGACGAGAAAACGGAAAAGAAAATTAACCAAAAAAAAAAAGAAAAAAAAGGAATAAACCCTCCCAGCAAAACCAAAACCAAACCCAACCGACCCCAAAAGGAAACACTCAAAGGGTTACTTGTTAATTGAAGATGTATATAGTATCTATGGTTTAAAAAACCTATTTATAACACTTTTTACATATATGTACATAGTATTGTTTGCTTTTGTTGACCATACGCTATGTTTTAAAGCCTAAAGCAAGTGCCTAAGGAACTATTACTCCTAACAGTGTAACAAGAGCGCGGTGATTTTTCTCTCATGCAAAATCCTCTTTGAGCTGAACTCTCCTTCCCCATCCCAGCCTGTATCGAACCTTCAGAAAACCCCAGCTCTGACTGGTTTTAGGCTGGCGTAAATTGGAGTTGTGTCTGTTTATGCCAGCTGGAGGGTTGGTCCCCGCTCCTGCCACGTGCTGTGATCCTGGTAACCAAAGTGCACGTCCAGATCTGACGGGAGATGCTTCCGAAAGGTTTGAAGGATTTCGGAGCAAAGGCTTTGATTGCCCCAAGTGCCTAAATGACTTATGTGCCTAAGTCCCATTGCCTTGCCACCACACCCGCTGGGAATTTGGGCTTTTAAATCACTTAGGTTGACTTGCAATCCAGCAAGGGCTGTCCTCCTTCGCCCGGGTGGGCTCTGGGGGTGCCCCCTGTGCCAGCAGGGCTGGGGTGTGTGCCGTGCCGTGCCAAGCAGCCGGGGCACTGATGCTCCCAACCGTGAAACGTGCTTTTTCCTTGCCGTGGAGCTAAACTACCGATGAGAAAGAAGCAAACCCAGTATATCTATGAAATCAAATACCAGATATATGAAATGGTGCTATCTATTTACCATTCCTTATATTGCTAGCCATTTAACCTTATTCACTGGAAATTCAGTTAACAATCGTGAGGTAAACAACAAAGCTAGAAATGAGAAATAATTCTGTGTAATATAAATGAGCTATAACTGCTTTTGTACTTAGACTTGCTCTTACTATTATTTTTAATAAAGCATTTATAACTGAGGTTCCTTTTTTCCCCCCCGTGGTCAAGAGGAACAGAAACAGCTCTGGGTGGAGCCCTGTCGGTCTTTGCTGCCAGAGCGAGATGTCTGTCCTCTGTCTGTGTGTCAGTGATGTGTCTGGCCATGAATTGAATGGGCACCTGTGCAGACCCCAGGCTGCCTTCTGAGGACTCCAGACACTGTGTTGCTGTTGTTGTTGTTTTTGTTTCGTTTTGGGGTGTTTTTTTTTTTGTTCTTTTTTTTTTTTTGCTTTGCTTTTCTGATTTTATACCGACTGTGTGGACTAAGAAGCAATGAAATAAAAGTCAGAATAACTCAGTTGCTTCTGCTTTTTGGCGTTTTTGCGGGTTAGAGCCAGGCTGCACTCCGCCAGCCTGCTTGCACGGCCATCCCACGGAAAGTCTCCGTGATGCCGTGTAGCAGATCTGTGGGCTAATTCATGCTGCTGAGAGAGGCTCTGAGCTTGCTGGGCTGCCTGCGTGGCAGATGTACCTGTGCCGGAGGGGTAAGACTGCACCAGAGTTAGTGCTGGGGCCAGGAACTGAGCTTAGGGCCCATGTCGTCGTGCTGGTGTGTGCTCATCTTTCTGCCTCTGTCCTAAGATGCTCCCGGGGTGTGACCACCAGCTCCCCAAAGACAGCAGCCAGGCAGCAGCTTGGCAGGACGGCACTTCTCCACTGCCAGTCTCCTGAGCAGGGACGGTTCAGGTCAGCATCAGCTGCCCCGGGGGGATCCGGCCGGCTCTGCCACCCGGCACAAACAGCAGAAGCCTTTCAGTCCTGTGTGCCGAAACACCCAGAGCCTGGGGGTGCAATTCCAGCCGGGGGGATTAGCACATTGTGCGCAGTCTGCGCAGCCTTAATGGCTGGCACGGAAGCGTCCGCACTTCCGTTTGCTCATTCATTTGGCTATTAAATATCCGAGCTGATGTAGCAACCGGTGCTGGCAGAAACACAATGGCTCTTGCAAGGTCGCTTGTTGAGGACAGTTATTAACATCAGGCCAGATCCCAAAGCCCTCAACCCAGCCACATCCCAAAGGAACGGAGCAGGAGCTGTCTCGCATCATCTCGGCCGCTCAGCACAGAGCCTGGGCAGCGCGGCATGGGCACCCTGGCACCTCACTTGACGGCTGAGGCTTCTGGTCGTGGTCTTCCAGCTGGGAGTATTTCCCCATGGGCTCACTTTGCTGAGTTCCAACTAAGCCCAGGAGGGTATCTTGCTTGCTGAAGCAGCATTTGAGCCCCCGTAAGCTGCAGCACTGGGGCATGTGGTCATCCCAGGTCCTGCCAGGCTTGGCACCGCGTACCTGGCAAAGGGGACAAATATTTCCCTTCTGAGAAGTAGGTAGGAACACAGGTGGTTTTTGCCACTCCTGTGGGAAAATTAAGGATGGGTTTTCTCATTTTGGATCGGTATCTCAGAAGGCACCAAAAACCTGACTGCTTCATTTTTGCGTCTCAGCACGGTGCTCTTCATCCGCTCAAGGCGTAAACAAGTGAGCGGCATCAGTTTGTGTCCACAACTCAGTGTTGCATAGTTGCTTCGTGCTGGGGATGCATTTTGGAAAGCAGCAGAACCAGATAACTTTTGAAGTGGAAACAACGTGAAGGTTTGAATCCCTTTTGGAAAGGGTCCAAAGGGGAACTGCCACCCATTCACACCAGAGTCAATGTCCCCCCCCCCAAACTGTCACATTTGGGTTGACTCCGTTGGGTTGGAAGTCACCAGCGCCTCTTACCCCCGGCTCTCAACCGTGACTTCGCACGGGCTCTTTTGACCCTTTTTTTTGCCTTAATTCAGTCAACCCGGGCTTCTCCGGTGCCAGCCGGGGACGCGGGGGAAGGAGGGGGGGGGACCCGCGGCCCCAGCCCCGATCGCGGTGCGCGGTCGCCGCCCGGTGGCTGCCGGCGGCACGGCGGGACACGGCCCCGACTTCTGCAGGGGACCCCCCCACCGTGCACCCCGGCAGCAGGGGGGGCACCCCGCTCTCCGCTTGGGGCGGGGGAGATTTCTTAAGGCGGACGGTCAGGGTGTCCCACTGGTGACCATAGGGACAGGGCTGAAGGGGTCACCCCCCCCCCGGGGTGGGAGCATCACCCGGTGGGCGATGGGGTGCAGGTCCCAGCCCTTGCCTTAGCAGCATGGAGGGCTGCCCCCGCCCCGGCATCTCTTACTGCCCACCGGGAACGGCTGATTAAAGCGCAAATAATTAATAGTAAGAGTGGAGGGAGCTCCAGAGGTCTCTAGTCCTGGCTCCTGCCTGGGGTGGGACGGTCACCAAGGATAGACTGGGCTGGGCTTTGTTTAGCCAAGCCTTGAAAACCTCCAGGGGTAGAGAGTCCCTGACGCTCCCTTCCTAGTGAAAAAGCCTTTCCTAAACACCAGCCTAAACTTCCCAGGCCTTAATCTGCCCCTCATTACATCAAATGGCCACCGTGACCATCCTCTAAACCCCGGCCAAGGAATCCAGCTCCATGAGGGATGTGGGGACCACCAGCACTTGGGCTAGAGGTGCATCACCCACACTGGGTGCTCCATTCCCCACACCCCACTCACAAGATGACAGAAGACATTGAGGCCGGACTCAGCATTTCTGCCTGATCAGCAGTAAGCACACTCGGAGCTAAATGAGACTCAAAAATTTCAGTGCACCCTGGGGCTACAGCCCAATTAAAATCAAGGCAGCCCATAAAACAGCTAGCTGAACAAAACAGCAACAGTGTGGTATGAAGTGGCAGAGGGGTGAAAAAAATATTAGGGAAGTTTCTTTAATGTGTGTTGTATCATAAAAGCAATTGTTTAAATGGCTTTTCTAGTGCTCTCAGCAGTAAATACTTCTGAAAAACGCGCTGAGCAAATCTCATCTTCCTCTTTCATTTACTGCCTTGTAAATTGAAAAATTATGGTAGGAATAAAAAACCCCTCGGTGCCTGGGAGCAGCTGTTTTGGTCGCAGCCCCCGTTCCCCGCTCAGCCCGCTGCGGCTCCCGGCTGCAGCCGGGCGGGGGCAGCTCCGGGCCGCGTTTCCCGGAGCCCTCCCGGGCTCGGGGAGGGGAGAGCGGCGGACGGGGAGAGCGGCGGACGGGTGTCCCTCGGAGGTGCAGGGGGACACGGTCCCTGTGCAGGACCTAGCTCGAAAACCCGTGCAGGCAGGAGCAGCTAAGCCTGGGCGGGAGCGGTTGGCAAAGCAGCTGGGTTTCCCTGCAGCCCTGAGCAGAGGGTGGTTGGACCAGGCTTGGCCACACTACGGATCCAGGTGGGAATGGCCAGGGTGTCAGCCGGGTCTCCTTGACCAGGGTGTCAGCCGGGTCTCCTTACAAAGCCTGCGGCAGTGCTCCCCTCCTGGGCATCCCTCCAGGGCACGTTAGCTATTGCTGCTTTTGGGCTGCCGTTGTGAAGGCCTCTTTCTTCTGGCACCAACATGGTCTTTGCATGTACAGGTAAGGCAGGTGCTAGCATGTCGACCACACCTGGGAAATCCAACTGCTACAGCCATCACTAAGTGCCAGCTAATTAGTTAATTCTGGCTTGACTTCTTTGGTCAATGTTGCGTTAATTCATGCTGGGAAGGTTTCCTTCAGAGTGTAGAGGCTGACAAGGGGCAAGAGGGATGAACAAGTCAGCTCATTCCAGAGTGACTCAGCCAGGGAGTGCTCAGCTGTAGGTGCAGGAAGATGAACTGAGTGGGAGCGAGCATGGTTCTTCGCAAAGGGCCAGGCTTTTGGGGGCATCTCAAAATCAGCTAAAGATGCTCCAGTCCCTTCTCATCCTCTTGGCTGGAATCTGTTAATGAACAAGGAAGGCACCTGAAGCAAATCCAGCATCTGTGACTATAAGTCTATGTCAAGAGCCAATACCTTGCAGAAAGCATCAGACATCCTCATGACAAAGTCAAGTCAATTAGCAAAGTGGCAATGTTTGTTAGCAAGATGCAATTAATTATCCTACACAATCTGCATGGAGGAAGTAGTGTGGGCAAGTGACCCTGGCACTGTAAATCGAACAGCCCTGATACAAATCATTGTTTTCATTTTCTTTTCTA